AGGGGATCCGGCTGTGTCAGAGCCATCTGGGAGCTGTGCAGAATTCTCCTGGCAGTGCCACCTCTGCGCTGAGAGCAGGTGGTTCCCCCCAAGCAGAGACGCTCACCTGACCTGGGCGAGTCATTCTATTACATGGAGATCACTGGGGAAGAAGGAAGCAACTGACGGTCCCTCCCAGCAGCTTCGTATCATAGCCGGGCAGTCTGCTCCTAGTGACTAATGGCATCCAGACGCCCAGCACAGCTGGAAAACGCCCCGGGGCTTGGGAGTCTCTGACCAGAGCTGGTGCCAGGGGCGCACTGCTGCCCTATGGCAAGGCAGAGAGCTGGGCTGTGGAGGCCCAGGTGCTCCCCACCTCCTGGAAGACATCCAGAGCTTGGTTCCCGAGACAGTCTCCACTGCTCGCTCTTTGTCACCAGGAAAGGGCTGCTCCTTTCCTCCAGAGCTCTCTGCTCCCCCACCGTCCCCCCGAGAAGCCCCTTGGACAGTGTCCCTTAAGAAACATTCTCCCCCACTCCACACACCCACTTTTTATACCAGCAGCGTCTAAGTCAGGCCTCGAAAAGGGGAGTTTTTCAATTGTAGCAACATCTCCCCCCGCTCCATCTCCCAGCCCCTGACAACACCTAACTTCCAGCTAATCCCAGTCCAGCACAGCCCAGGCAAATTACAATCTAAAGCCCTGTCTTGGCTAAGAAGCAAGGTGAGCTAGGCCGTGGTAACACCCTAGTGTAGACAGGATAGATGTCATTTTCACACCTGTTGTTATGTCAAGGGGGAAGCCAACAGGTGTGGAAACTACCAGGCCCTGTCCGCACTAGGACGTCACCCTGTGTTAACTCCCCGGTGGTGAAAGCACACTTCTTCCCCCCAGGTTAGACACACCCCGAGAACCAGAGGGCTGAAAGAGATGCCACAGACACACACAGGGGTGTATCCACCCTCCACGGCAGCCGCTGTGAATGAGATGACAGGAGGGAGCCCCGGAGCTGGAGTTCCGAGGGCACCAGAACATGCATCATTTGGCCGTGGGCTGGAGGAAGGCTTTGAAACCAGCGGGAGTGTCACAGTAGGACTGAGCGCGTTGGGGATCGCTGGGGCTTCTGCCTCCGTCACCCTCTGGAGCTGGCTGCGCTGGAGAGCCTGAGACACTTGGCCAGAGGCTGAGGAAGAGGATGAATCAATTCTGTCCAAAGGACGTGGCTACGCACTGCCCACCCGCTCCTTAACACCCAGCAGCTGCCAACTCAAAGGGGCAGTTGTTTGGAACATGGGAATGCCACGCAGGACTCCTGGGTTCCCTTCTGCAGCTGAGAGCCCTTGTAATAAGTCTTAGAGCAGCACTTTCAAGAGGGGCATCTGGGGCCTGGTGCTCAGAGGGGCTGGGGTCCTGGCAGGCTTCCTGCAGCACCTAGCTGTCTCAAGATGGCCACCAGGAGCTGAGGCACCTTACCCTGCTATCACAATGGGCCTTAACCTCTCCGGCTCCAATTCACCATCCCCCTGTTGTAGCACAAGGTAGCAGAGCAAGATGGCTGCCTTTCACGTCCCCTTTGCCCTGCTGGCAGTGAGCACTCAGCGCAGGGCAGTGGAGAATCGGGCTGTCCGTGCCTCAGTTTCCCTAGGCATCCAACAGGATGGAACACTGCACTACAGAGCCCGACTGGCTTTTAGAGGCTCATGCCAAGAGGCCACAAGGAGGGTCAGCCCCAGCCCAGAACCAGGGGCACAGTCTAGCCATACAGCTCCTGCTCTGGTCTTTGCCAAGAGTCCACGCTAAGGGACCCTCCCTGCTCCCCAGCTCCCCCAGGCCTCGGGGACATTTCATTTCACACCGACGTCAAGGCACAGTTTGAGAAATCATTTATTGGTCAGAATTGGGCGACCAAACCAATAGGAGCATGTTCCCCCCACCTTGGAGGGAAGGCAGCCGCTGCCCCGCTTGGAGCGCACTGGTCAGCCCGTGCGGCGACCCCCGAACTGACACCCGAGGAAGATTTGCCTGGAAGATCCCAGCCCAGTGACACTATCGTGTTGCTGCACTCAATGCCCAATGCCAGGCTGCCCGGGGAGCCTAATCCCCGGAGACAGTTAGGCCCTGGAGCCTAAGTCCATTGGCGGTCGACGGATGGGGACTCCTAAGTGCCTAAACCCCTTCGGTCAGTGTGATTGGGCTCCTAAGTCAGTTGGGCACCGTGACACTGCGTGCAGCACCGCCGCCGTAGCATTAACAATCTGGGCCTTAGTTCAGAACAGGAATTTGCCAGCAGCCGGGATGGTTATTCCGTGTGCTCAGTGCATTGAGAAAAAACAAAATCCCCCCTCCCCCAGGTTTACAATATGTACAGTAATAAAACCCCTAAAAGAACCCCCCCCCCATGTAAAACTTCCCCTCCCTGCCGGCCCAGCTCCTGTGGGGCGCCTGCGCGAGGAGGGATTTGCCAGCGTCCCCAGGATCCAGCCAGCATCTCCGAAAGCAGGAGGAGAGTCCACCACACAAGTCCTTTCATCCCAGGATACCTATGAAATCCCAGCTGTCCTGCCACTGCCGGCCTGGGGCCCCCTAGTGGGCATTCCAGACACCGCCCTGGCTTTTCACAGTTCAGTCCCTCCACTGGCAGCAGT